TTTGTGTGTAGCTCTGCACAGATATGGTTTAGAAATCAGCTAGAGATTTGGGCAGAGAAACATATTTTGTGCATCTTCTGCTCTGGCTGTTTCTTGTAACTCTTCCCTCACTTTTCAGAGGCTCTGGTTATTTTCATCTACGGGTTTTGCTATTTCTGGTAAGAAGTGCTGTGAGTATGTTAGTGGAGTCTTCAGCCGTCATGAGTAGCAGCCCTGAGCCACAAGCAATGAAAACTCATCTGGAGCCATTTCTTCCTTCCAAATGTTGATGCCTCTTGAGAATCTCTCCAATACTTTCCGGGAGTGTTTTGGTCTTTTATCCAGGGCTTATAATTATTGTTTGTGGGAAGATAGGTCTGATAGAATCATTTATTTGGCCATAATGGAAATGGAACCTGGATGGAGTCTAAATTGGTACAAGCACTTCACTGAAGGACTTGAAAATATCTAGAAAAATTGAAGTTGTCCTTGTACATAAGGACATATGTCAGAATGTTCACTGAACTTTGTTTTCTGAATAGAAAATATTGCAAATAATCTAAACTTCCATCAGCAAGATCATAAGTAAATTAATTGTGGGATAGTTCTCTGAATGAATAAACAAGCTGGGGGAGATGGCTTGTGGGTAAAGTACTTGCCATGCAAGTGTCAGAACCCAAATTCTGCCTCTAATTCCAGCACTCAGGAAGCAGAGGCAGGTAGATCTCTGAGTTCGAGGCTAGTTTTGTCTACAGAGCAAATTCTAGGACAGCTAGGACAACACAGAGAAAAACCAAAAAGAAAAAGAAAAAGAAAAAGAAAAAAGAATTGCCAGAACTCATGTCAAGCTGGTTGCGGTAGCATACCTGTAATCCCGTGGTGAGATGGGAGGCAGGGTGGAAATTCCTTGGAAACTTTGTGAGCCAGATAGACTGACATAGCAGAAGTGAACAATGAGAGAATGTACATCAAACAAGGTGGAAAGGAAAGGACACACACTTGAGAGGTTGTCCTCTGACTCCCCACCCCACCTGCACACATGTCACACAAAGAATAAATAAACTAGTGCTTAATTGACATGATTAACCAAAAATGCAATGTTAAACAGAAAGTTTTACAAATATATCTATAATTTGGTAATAATTATGTAAGCTTAAAATATGGGAAATAAGATCTAGGTATGTAGCTCATTTGGCGGTTTTTGTCTAGCATGTATGAAGCCCTGGGTTTGATTCTAAGCACTACATCAACCAAGTGTGGCATTACATGCTTATAATTGTAACATTCAGGAGATGGAGGCTGGGGTCTCAGAAATTCAAGGTCATCCTTGGCTACTTTATGAGTTAGAATCCAAGCTGATATGCATGAGACTGTCTGAAAAAACTAAATCTGCCTATCTATCATCTCCCTACCTACATATCTATGAGACAGAGCTGGGGGCACTGCTCAGAGCTTGCTCAGCATGTGCTATGCAGACATGAGAACTGAATCTCAAAAATTAAAAAAAAAATTAGTTTTATGTGTGTAGGTGTTTTTGCCTGCATGTATGTCTGTGCACCACATGCGTGCAGTGTCTGTAGATGCCAGAAGAGGGTTTTGGGTCCCTTGGAACTCGAGTTACAGGTGGTTGTGAGGACAGCAGCAAGTGCTCTTAACAACTAAGAATACATCTCTTCAGCCCCCAAACATATATCTTTGTGGATCTATGTACAGAAGATTTTTTTTTAAAGATTGCATTTTGCTTGTATGCTTATGTGGGGAGGGTGTTGTGCACGTGTAGGTCTGGCTCATGATATACCCCTAGAGTAACAGTTTGTTGTGAGTCATCTGCAGTGGGTCCTGGGAGCCAAACTTGGGTCCTCTGGAATAGTGGTATGGATTCTTTACTACTGAGCAATCTCTCTTGCCCCATGTTAATTTTTTATAAAGGCTTCTACTGTCTATAAAATATTTTATTTCTAAAACATAAACATTGGGGATAGTATAACAAAATATTAAGATCTGGTGGGATTAGGTAATGATATTAGTTTTCATGTTATTAGTTACCACTTTTTTTTTTTTAGAAGAAAGTGTTTATTTGTGCTTATGGGTTCAGAAGGTTAGAGTCTATGATGGCAGAGCAAAGGCATGGGGCAGAAGCAGGAAGCTGAGAGTTCATATCTTGAACCACAAGCAAGAAGCAGAGAGATTTGAACAATGAGCACCACAGAAGTCAGGGGAAGAGGAAGTTTTAAAAAGGAATAGGGAGCTATTTCAAATGCCGGCTCCAAGAGGTAAAATAATTGCAATTGGGTAGCAGGGAATTATTAACGACTCTTGGAAGCATCTATTGCAAGCAGGAGTGAACAGCAGGTAGATAAGTCAATGCAGGTGGTAGGTAGAGACCCGGCTGCTTATTCAGTAGGATGATTAGTCCAGCTTTTCCAGGGTGGAAAAGTTCTCTGTTTGCTGGATATTCACTTATCCAGAACAAATGGAAGCATTTATAACTACAGGCAGGGTTTAAGAAGCAAAGGCATTCTATCTGGCAAGGAGAAGAGACACAGCTTCTGCAATGGAAAAAAAGGCAGCAAGAAAGATTGACCCAGGCAGGAGACAAAGAGAAGAGGAGTGTGTCTCACCGAAAAACTAAATCAGGCCATGTGTTGGCATGGAGAAACTGGGTGTGGAGATGGTCCAGGCTATGAATTAACCCACTCAATCACAAGTCAGAAGGCTGAACTAGTGAGAACCGAGGCTGAGAATAGTGTCGATGATGTGGATGATTTGAGGCTCTGAATGGACTGGGTGCATGTGAGCATTCAGAACAGTGCTGCCAACAACTACTGTCCATGTGTGCTGGCTGCTCTGGACTCTCACAAGCATGCTCATTTAGTCCTGACAATGACTTTTGATATGACTGCCATGTCACTATTTTTTTCTTTGGATGAGAGAATCAAGTCATAGGAAAGTGAAAGGACTTGAACAGGACTACAAAGAGCAGGTCTGAAACCCAGATGATCCAGGTTAACCTGGGCAGCCATGATCTCAGCAGCAGCCGGTTCTCAGTGTGGAAATGGAGGTTCAGTGACCAACAGCAGAAACAGTGGGCAGAGGAGGGGGTGAGGACAGTTTCCAATGCATACTTCTTTCCTCCTTTGGTGTTCTTCCAAGACACTTTTTTTCCCTTTTAAATTTCAATTCCTGTTTTCTTTATTAAAAAGAAAAAAAAGCCTCAAGCTTCCCAGAAATTTTGGAATAAATCCTTGAGCTTTCCTTTAACCACACAAAACATTTGCCTTCTTCTCAGAAATGTTCATTATATTCATATTTTTTGTTCGGTACGATTTCCATTTATTTTATTTTATTTACTCAAGATTAACTCTTCACCATCATTCTTCATAGAATCATTTTATCTTTGCCTGAAGACAGGACTGTGGTTTAGGGAGTGAACAATGCTATAGGAAGATAGCCTGGGCAGAGAGCTCAACCTACCTACCAAGAACGAAGTCCCAGGGCTTCCTCATGAGCCAAATCATTCCCACACCCTCCAGCCCCTTATGTGAGGTTCAGCAATTCTGCCGTGTGTGCACCATGGACAGCTCCGTACACGTCTCTTTTTCCTGGCGGCTTGGAATACTGTGATAATTGTTCACAGTATTTTTTTCTTAATAGTCAAAGATCTGGATATTTAGTATATTTCATAAAGAACTTACTATTAATTCCCATAACTTGCAGATCATTCTTCATGAGGTGGAAAGACGCTGATTTTATTGATACTAAAAATCACTCATCAACTTACAGTTCCTATTGCTTTTGCTAAATAAGTTTGCTATGATCTTTGCCCCTCAGTTTTCCAACTGAACGACTTGGATGAAAAATGGTTCTTAAATGGCTGGCAGTTCGTTGCTGTTTTCCGTTTTAAAAGAAATCTCACTTCCATTGTGTTATTTGGCTGCCCACTAATTCTGGGTGGCAGGATGGATTTTATTGTTCCCATTTTACAGATGACGAAGAACTGCAGGCTTAGGGAGATGCGAAGAACAGCTGGGGGAGTAAGCGATGGGGCCTGGGTCTGGGATCTGGGTCTTCTAAGTCTGGGCTTCCAACGCCTTCCTTACTTTGAGGTGGACTCTCCAGGCATCTTCCTATTAATATGCATGGTGCCCTTTTGATCGCTTCCCATTTCTATTGGTTTCTACTTCCCAGCAGATAAAGGGGCTTCCTACTGCTCCCAGGCTGGACTGCTGCAAGGAGCACACCTGGATTCTTCCTGTCTCCACTTTCTCCTCTTCCTTTTCTGTGGACCTTCCAGCTTCACCATCTATGGAAATCTCCTCCTTTCCCTAGCTCCAACCCCCACCCCCTCAAGTCTTCTCACAGCCCCCTGGCAGTGGGACCTCCCATCGCTGCTCAGCAGCAGGAGAGCCCATCCGCCAGGGGAGGCAGAGGGCACGGAGCGCAGCACGCCGGGAAGCCATGCAGAGTGTTACTTCTCCATTTCCTTCCTCGCAGTCCTCGGGAGCACCGTCGTCGCCCTCCGGCCCGGCTGTGTGCAGCCCGCCCCGGATCCGCCTCCCTGCCCTTCCTCCCGGAGGCTGAGACGCGCGTGGGACGCACCTGTGCTCCTCTCCGGTCACCGCGTCGAGGCGCCGGGGGCTGCTGCGCCCGCAGGATCTACGGGCCTGGAGAACGCCAATGGGGAGATCCAAATGGTCGGGGACTCCGGCACTTTAAGAGGCTTTTCTCTGGGAAACACCCGGCCCCTCCGTGCGCCTTATGAATGGAAATACTCCTCCCCCGGTCGAGCCCATTTTCCCATTTCACCAGGAGCCGCAGCTCGCTCTCTCCTTTCGGTCTCCCCGCCCACATCCACGCGGGCAGCTCCAGGAGGGGACGGACAGGAAGCCTTTGGCCGCCCATTAAATCCCACCCATTTCTCCGGGGGCGATTTCCTAACCTTCCGGGACCGAATTCTGCAATTTGATGTGCGTTTTGTCCGAATGGTAGCGACACGGGCCTAAGGGAGGGGGAAAGCGAGGGGGTGGGGGGGTGGGGGGTATGCGCTCTTTTCCTCGCAACATCGCTGGCGGAGCGAGGGAGCTCACACGACACAGATTTTGGGGCAAAGCCTTTCCATCTGGACAGCACCATGTCCACCAAAGCGGAGCAGTGTAAGTAGCAGCCGGCCCGGCGTTCGGTCCGGCCTCCGGCTGGGAGCTATCGCAGCTGCGGCGTTTGCGGCTGCTGGGAGACCTTGGCATTGTGCTGGTGCGGGGGTGGGGGCTGAGGTTGGGGCGGGTGGCGGGTGGGGGGTGGAAGGAGGTGGGGGAGGGTGGACGGCGGAGGCAGCGCGGCGCTGTCCCCGGTGCTGAAAAAATAATGCGGTCTTCTCGGGCTAGCCGTAGGTTTCTCCAGACTGAAGACCCCGCGAGATGAAATTAAAATGGGGTCATTCTCGGGAAAAAAGAGGCCTCGTATCTTTCAGATAAACATTTCGGTATCTCTTGTTGGAGTGGGGGAAGGGGGGCAGCGGCAAATCAGGGGCGGGGAACTGTCAGTTGCAACCAAAGCCTTCCCGGCCTTCTGAGCATGCCCAGTTCTTGGTGCTGGAGCCATCGGGGAGTTTGAGTCTGCAGTTTCCACTTCGGGTGGAATAGGCAAGAAGGGAGAGAGGGGGGCAGGGAGCAGGGAGCAGGCTGAATTCTGCATTCAGTATAAGGAAAATTAACTCATGAATAGCAACACTGATGCTAAAACTAACCTCTACTGTGTGGGACTTCCAAGACAGTGAAAGGGTCGCTGGGAAAATGATCTAATTGAGCTAATGATTTCTCCAAAGAGCAGGCTTTCTTTGTAGGGCAGCTTACACAAACTCTAATAGCATAGGAGGAATTTGGTTGTACCAATAATGACTGACTCTGTGCTTGGCTGGAAACAACATGGTAACTCCATGTGGACGGAGAACGTTTCCAGCATGGTCCCCATAGTGTCTCCTATTGCAATGCACACTAGTAGGCCTTGGGTATGTACTTGGTGGGTTGGTTGATATGATAGTTTACCTGAGTGCACTTGAGGTATTCAGGAACTTGAGCTTCTGGCTGTAAATAAAATGATCCTTTTATTAAGCAATTAGTTGGTATTTCCAACAAGCGTATCTAGAACTTATTCTTCCAAATGATTCTTTGTTTCTCCCAAAGCATTTATTTGATAATTTATTCTGATAATGCTGTCCCTGCTCAAGCCTGTGTAATTCTTCTTTGCAATGATACTAACACCAGTTTTGGAATGTGTAAGATAAAATGCAGTATGCCATTTATCCACCACCTAAGACTGAACAGGCTGAAGATCACACAATTCCCAGGCTGACACTTCTTTAGAAATTGTGTGTGTCCACTTTCCACCAGAGCTTTCACAGTGATTTCAGGATCCAGAAAATCTGGGTTTCAAGCTAGTCCCGCCTCTGTTGACCTTGGGTAAGATAATTGACCCCTCTGAACTTCATTTCCTCATCTGTAGACCCAGGGTGAAGCTGCTGATAGTGTAGTTGTGATAATAAATGAGAAAATACACATGAAAGATAACATGAACCCAGCACCTAGCATATACCTAATACATGATAGCTATAGTGTCGACAAGCAGTTTCATTTCAATTGTCTATCTCTTCTAAATAGTGAAGAAAGTCCTCTGTGACTTTTTTTTGTGTGTGTGTGCCTGTTTCCAAAAGTCAAATCTGCCCTCAGAGTTAAATCCTGTTTCTACAGAGACTTTCAAAAACATTGGATGCACTCAGTTTAGAGTAGCTGTAACATAGTTAGAAGCAGCGCAGAGCTTTCCACTGGAGGACATTAGCACCCCTGAAGATTTTATTGTACTCTGGTTGTTGAGAAGCCCCACCACTTGTCGTTGGATTCTGTAGTTGCGGATTATGTAAGTGACTTCAGGTTAAAGCCAGAGAAAAGCACTGTCCTCTTACTGTGCTCTCTCTCCCTTGTGTTGTATTTTGATGTCTGCCTGATTTTTTGTTTTGCTTCTTTCCTGGGCATTTGAATGCCAGGATGAAAAAAAAAAATCTAGACCAGGGCTTGGCTGTGTACTGCAATTTATGGACTTAAATGTAACTATTTTAGACTCGCTCACAAAAACAGATAGATGTTTTCATCTGTAGAGAATGAACTGGACACTGTATTTGGGGCTAAAACATGTAGACTTGAGCTTTGCATGCCCTTCTGATGACCTGTGAGACCTGGGTCAATTAGCTTAATAGTTTTGTGCCTTAGAATTCCATCTATAAAGTAGGGAGTAACAGTAATAGCTATCGTTGGAGGGCAAAGGGGATAAATAAAAGGAGGCCGTGAAAGGGTCTTGTAGACATTTTTAAATTTAGAGTTAGGAATATTTTCTTTTCCTCCTTTATGCACTAACATGAATGGCTGTGGTGTGCACCCCTGAAAACAGAGCAACAGCTAAAAAGCTGCATAGTGGATGACGGTAAATACTTTTTACGAAAGTGAAGTTGCAGACTGCAAACAGTTTATCCTTGGACTTGGTAGGAGTATAGCTACTTGGGGACGAGAAAGAAGAAAGAACCAAAAGGAAGATTTTTCTCTTGTACTGGGCGTGAAGATCACCAGAGGGAAGAGGAGAGACGAGAGAGTCCTTTTCTCCTCTGCAGTTAGGAGCATGTACAGCTTTCTTAAGGACCAAGTATCGAGAGGATTAGGCTTAATATAATGTAACAAGATTATTTTATTACTCTTTTTCTTGGAGCCTCTTGAGAAGTGAAGGTTTCACATACAGGAAGTGGATAGAGTTTGGTTGAAGCAGCAAGAGGAAGTACTTGCATTTCAACCCAAACAGATTATGTTTACCTCTGAAGTGTAGTGTATCACAGAGCTAGGACAAATGAGGCTTATTTTTTTATGCAGTAACATTTTCCTTTATGTAATAAACAATAGTAATGCAAGATAGATTAGTTTTAGTAAAGATGTAGTGGGGAGCCTGTGTGAAACATCCCGTCAGTCTCTGGGCTGTCTGCAGAGTCTGCCTGCTAACTGGAGGTGAATGCTCCCTAGCAGTCTCTCAGGCGACTGCAGAAAAGCCAAGTTCCTTTTCGTCTGTGTGACCCTGCGCCCCGCTACAGACTTCATTGTAGTGAAGATGTCTGTGCAGCACATGCAGAACTGAAAATGATTCAAATAAGAATTCATGATTTATTTGGACTTCTGAAAAGGATTCTACCTCCCCTCCCCCCAATTTTTCTTTCTGTTGGTAGTTAATGCTAACCAACCTGGACTATGCTGAGAATGCTTTTTTAACATGAATCTTTGTATTTGACAACAGTAAAAGTTAAGAGTTGGAGCTCTAACAACAGATTGTGGCCTTGGTTTGAATCCTAACTCTGCCTCTTGCAAGCTTTGTGACCTTGAACAAGTCAGTTTAACTCATCTGAGCCTGGTTGAATCATTTCTAATATGGAGCTAGTAATAGCAGTTGTGAAGATAAAATGAGATGGTCTATGAAAAGTGCTTAGCACAGAACCCTAGCACACGGTATGGAGTTAATTAGATGTGGCTTTTATCATCACGAATACAACCATGTGCTGGCTACCAAAATGGGGATGTGTATAAAGTTTGAGTCTAGTTTTCTAGAATGCAACAAAATAAAAAAAAAAAGTGATATTATTTAAACAAGACATGGGCTATCAGACTAGATTACATTCCTTTCTCCTCTGCTGAGGGACCCCTGGAGTTGATATTTCTGGCAAAATACTGGCTGGTTACCTACATAGAAACTTTCTAAGGCATGAGCTGACTAATTGCCATCTTTTGTGCTATCATGACAGTGTGACAGTTGGTAAACATATATCCTATGAATGAATACCCATCAGAATGTTCATCAAACTTGGAAATCAACAGCTAATAATTTAAGTTCAAAATACCTAATTATATAATAGAAATGTGAGTATGTATTATTTTTAATGTGTTCATTAACTGATTAACTGAGTATTGTTGCCTTAATAATTAAAGTAATTTTAATTACATTAGAGAAATTTAGAAAAATTAAGTTACATTTATATGTGTTCATGCACCTGTGTGTATGTGCGCATGCACACACGCGCGCGCGCGCGCGCGCGCGCGCACACACACACACACACACACACACACACACACACGTGTATACTGACATACCATGGTGTGCATGTCGAGGTCAGAGGATGACTTTCAGGAGTCTCTTCTTCCACCATGTCAGTTAGAGGGACTGAGCTCAGGTTGTCAGGCTTGGTGGCCTTTATCTTTACCCGCTGAGCCATCTTGCAGGCTGCAGACAAATTCTTTTAAGACTGTATCTGTTTAGTAGTTTGAGGTTGAAGTTGTTCCTTCCTATGCAAACTTAAGGGTCATGACGGATAAATCAATAAAATATTTTTTTTTGCACATGATAAAGTCACCAGGATAGAAAACACTCTTCCTTTAAACACAGGACTGTTGCCTTTAGTCTTGAAAAGCCTTTGCATAACACCACAGAATAGCTTCTTACAGAGGAAGTGCTTGTTTTCGTCATATAAGCAACAATCAATGTTTTGTGATTGTAAAGCAAACTGGTTTTTTGGCTCGTGTTTTACATGGCTCCTCTGTTACTGACACTCGTTAATGCGTTCCTTAAACTCTGCCATGTTTCTGACTATTTCTACTCAGACTTACCTTTTGTAGGGCTGTGTTTTGTTTTTAAAATATTTACTCAAGATTCCATATTTAGTCCAGTCTCCTTCTCCCCTCCCCAATGGTGCCAGTTGTCTCCCTCATGTATATTACTACCAAATATAATTTTCTAATCTAAACATGTATCTTGAACGAGATGCCCCCATATCTCTTCAGACATCTATATACAGATAAGCAAGCTCACTGTACTGTCTCAGACTGATACTTTCAAAAAATGTTGCTCATCTCAGTGGGTGGAACTACCTATTTATTATCCAAGTCAAAAAAAATTATGAGTCTTCCAAGATTGCCACTTTTCACAATAGCTATCTAACAAATCTCGAAGCCCTTCATCTTCTAGCTCATCTGGCATCATATCTGTTTTATATTTTCACTGTGCCTGCAGTGGGATGCTTATTTAATTCTGTCAATGCTTTGTGCCTGAAATGCTCTTTCTCTCCGTGGTCCTTTTT